GTCACATTTTAACCTTTTTTTTCATAACTCATACCCCGTCGCTGGACAGTGTGACATTGAACTATCTCTCGCGTTAGTCGCAGCGTATATATACTTGGTTTTAAGGCCCTCCCATCCCACATACACGAAAATTGAATTCTTTTAAAAAAGATACACTGTGAAACAGTACCTTAGTTAACAGCCAACTCAAACTGTAATAATTAAATAATGCTAAATAAAATACAAAAAAGAAGTAGATGTTCTGTTTGCTTATCTGATTTTTACTGCGTATACTACCTAAGTAGGTATGGCGGCGGTTTAGACTGGGAAAATTTCGGGGACCGTGGGAAAGTCGGGGTCCTTTGTCGGCGTCCTTTGGTCCTTTGACAGCATAGATCAAAGATTGGCGCCCCATAGGTGTTAATTGGATTTATACAGGTGTGTCCTTGGTGAATATACGAGGGGTCCCAGATTAGTGGTAAATTATAATTTAAGATCAACAAAAAAAAATAAAATAAATTGATAAAACGTGCTGAATATACTTTTAATTTAATACTTTAATGCTTTAAAATATCTAATTGTAAGTCAGCTAAATTATAATTTTATAGCTATAAGAGATTATGAGAGTTATCGCATCATTCGATATTGCATCATTCGATGTAAGTCACGTGTTCGATCAATGCAGCATTCAAATTAGCGGTAGATTGAATTGGCCGAGCGTGGCGCGACATTCAAATTGGTGAAAATTCAAACTTGACGACGTGGTTTATTGCTGGGAAAGCAACATTAAAGGACGGGTACAAATTGTAAGAGGAGTGATTGACTCAGAGGGTTCGGAGGGTAGTTTAAAATTAAATAACACGATTTAAAGGTTTGCGTAGTAAGAATCGGCAGGGTGCGCGTTGGTGCGAAATTTAAAATTAAATGTAATATTTAATCTCATGCGCAAATACAAATGGCCGGGCATTATTGCTCGTAAAATCAAAATTAAAGGTAAAATTGAAACGCCAAAGAATGCCGACAAAGGACCAAAGGATACCGACTTTCCCATGGTTCCCGAAATTTTCCCAGTCTAAACCGCTGCCATACCTACTTACCTACTTTGCAGTAACTATCTTATTTGTGGTCCGATTTTGAATTTGTATGTTTAACTTTAATTATCATTATTTGTCCTTACACCTTCATTTGACCTTGATCTAGACGTGATGGGGTCATATGGACAACATAAGTTACCTAGTCTGGAAAAAAGGCTTCTCGATTTCTGTTTCTGGACCTGTGTTATCCTCAACAAATACGGGTTAGCAGCGCGTATTTGTGTTCCACATTATTTGCGTACAAATTCGGTTGTTGCAAGTCAACGTTTAATTCGTCGACAGTTTTATCGTGGTATTTTTGGTCGCAATATTACCATCAGTAAACCTGAAACCATGCTAAATTAGTACAGCGGAATGGTGGAAAAATAATCGAAATTGTTCATTATCAACTGCGTGCATCGGACATTCATAAAACATAAAAATTAGATCATATATTAAAAATATCCAGTAGAGCTTTTGCAGAGTCGGTTTGTTTTATGAATTCGACTTTCGATAAGAACCCCAACCCAAAAAAATCGTTTTCATCAACGTATTTTAAATTTCTTTATATTTAATATATTAATTTGTAAGATGAACTGACGAAAGAAACAAACTACGAACTACGACGTAAACCTGATGCCCCCGCTATCTCAGCGTCATATTTACTCGCTAAAGTATGAAATTATTATGACTATATTTTATTTAATTTTTTTTGTGAATAGAGTTTCTAATTACGCTTAGTATAAATTGTAGTTTTGTATTGTTACCGAAATTTTCTCAACTGATTATAATCTGTTAAATAGCCTACTTCTTCTAAATATGAAATATTTTCGCCTACTTATAAAAATTTTCTGTCTGCATTCAATTAATCAATCTTTCTTTTTTTGCTTTCAGGAGGACGAGTGAATCAACAAATCGACACAGGAAGTGAGTTATTATTAATTTTTAAACATTAGTATTATAATGCTGCATAATTTACAGAAATTATTGGAAATATGTAATAATAAAAATTTTTTGTCCGCATTGAATTAATCAATTTTTCTTTTTTACTTTCAGTTGGAGCAGTGACACAAACATTCCGCACATATGGTGAGTTATTATTAAGTTTTAAACTTTAGTATTACTGCATAATTGACAGAAATGATTGCAAAGGAACACAGTAATGTATTCCATCAACAATTTATTTTATAAGCACTTACCTGGGATGAGTAAATCGTTTCCGTAGAACATACAAGGTGTAACTGAAATAAGTATTCAAAATTTTTGAGCTTGTAAAACAAGTCGAAAAATGACGAAAACTTTAGTACAATTTTTGTCAGTGGCGGCTCCTAAGGGAGCTACGCTCTCCTAAAGGGGTAACCTCGGAAACAGTTTTTAATGCGTAACATCCAAACGGCTCGACATTAAGTCACGAAATTTTGGTGAGATATTAACCTTGACGTGCTTAATAAGTCTCATAAAATACATTTCAAAATTTGCTACAGGGGCGTGAGAAAATGCAGGACCCAGGGACAAATTTAATCATATCTTTTTTGTAGTCAATTTTTTCTAGTTCCTGACTCGAAAATATTGAAATTTGAAGTATTTAACATAAAAAAGGTCCTCTTGTTAAATTTCACTAGGATGTGCCGTTTTCCAGTAAAATCGATTTCAATCATTCCCAACGTGCTCCAAATTCAACTTTCATTACATAGCAAAATAAATTAATTGCAGTGTGCCATGGGGAAAACAACTAGTCTGACAGTTAACAGAAATGTCAAATATTTTTAACACTCTTAATAGTAACAAATAAAAATATGGTGATATAAATAAAAGCTAAAAAATAGATACATATGAGATTATTTATTAAACTATTGTAAGCGGCTGAAACTTTTACGTAACATTTTAACAGATTTAAACCATTTAGTTTAGTTTAACAAATTAACCAAATATCTTAATTTCTTTAGCAGAAAATGTGCCCTAGTCAAGAAGACAGACTAGATTCAACTTTCAAAATGTCCGCCGTTTGCCCTAATGCACGCACGTAACCTGTTTTCCAAAGAAAATAGGTTCCGGTATAGTTTGTGCTCCACATTGAGTTCATTAAATGCATTTTCTATACGCTGACGCAACTGTTCCTCATTGTCAACAGCTTGGAAATACACTTTTTGTTTCATTTGACCCCACACGTTAAAATCCATTGGGTTGAGGTCTGGTGACCGTGGAGGCCAATTTATGGCAGCATCATTTCCTCGGCCAATCCAGCGATTTGGGAAGTGCTCGTTTAACCACTGTCGACATTGACGGTTGAAGTGAGGAGGGGCGCCGTCATGCATGTACCATAAGGAACCTCGTCTTACCAAAGGAATATCCTCTAAAAATTCATACAATCTAGTAGACAAAAATTGATGGTACATTGCTCCGGTTAAATTTCCAGGCATGATGTGATATCCAAATAGATTATTTCCTAATGTGGCAGCCCAAACATTTATTTTAAATGAATGCTGATAATGGGTTACCTTCCGAGCATTAGGATTTTCTTCGGCCCACATATGTTCATTGCGCATATTAAAAACACCGCTTCTGGTAAAGGTAGCTTCATCGGTAAAAATAATATTCGATAGAAACATCGGATCTTCGGCTTGCCTGTCTAAAACCAACTGACAAAACTGTCTGCGCATGGGCCTGTCCTGTGGTAAAATGTCTTGGGCCTGTCTATAATGATAGGGATACAATTGTTGTTCTCTCATTATCCTCCATACTGTCATATGAGACATGTTATTTTGAACTGATAGTCGTCTTGTACTAAGTGTGGCGTTAGCTTCAACTAAATTTAAAATATTTTCCTCATTCAGGACATTTCTAATTATTCTACGCCTGCCTCTCTCAAAATTGTTCCTTTTTAACGTACCCCGTTCTCGCAAACGCCTTTCTGTGCAAAGAAATGTTTTGTAATTGGGCACATTTCTGTTGGGGAACTTTTCACCGTATCGTTGTGCGGCTGCTCTTGCGCTTCCATGACATTCACCTAACGTCAAAAGCATATCTACATACTCAGAAAATGTATACTGTTGCATTTTTAAATTATTTGATATTTTTATTTACTATAAAACGGCACTGCGAATACTCAAATGACACAAATTTGAAACTAAAAATACTTGACATTTCTGTTAACTGTCAGACTAGTTGTTTTCCCCATGGCACACTGCAATTAATTTATTTTGCTATGTAATGAAAGTTGAATTTGGAGCACGTTGGGAATGATTGAAATCGATTTTACTGGAAAACGGCACATCCTAGTGAAATTTAACAAGAGGACCTTTTTTATGTTAAATACTTCAAATTTCAATATTTTCGAGTCAGGAACTAGAAAAAATTGACTACAAAAAAGATATGATTAAATTTGTCCCTGGGTCCTGCATTTTCTCACGCCCCTGTAGCAAATTTTGAAATGTATTTTATGAGACTTATTAAGCACGTCAAGGTTAATATCTCACCAAAATTTCGTGACTTAATGTCGAGCCGTTTGGATGTTACGCATTAAAAACTGTTTCCGAGGTTACCCCTTTAGGAGAGCGTAGCTGCTTTAGGAGCCGCCACTGACAAAAATTGTACTAAAGTTTTCGTCAATTTTCGACTTGTTTTACAAGCTCAGAAATTTTGGATACTTATTTCAGTTACACCTTGTATATAATTTTTTAAGTTTTTCTGTTCAAATTGGAAAGCTTTTGAAGACTTTGTTGGTATCAACGACGACATATAACCATTTAGTCGGCGTTATCATTTTTTGTGAATTCCTATCACTTGCGTATTCGTACTCGAGATAATGTATTTGTATGATAAAAAATAGGACGTTTTGATGTTACTGTGTGGGGGACGAACACTTATATTCTTGTAATTGAATTGAAGCAAGTAATAGGGTGTACTCGAGGATGTCATAGTTGCTCTATATATTGAAATGAATGGAAATTATACTAGTATAAAATGCATATTAATTGTGTATGCCATATGCTCTGCTATTGCCGATTTTTCCCAGTTGTTATTTTTGAGGTGACTTTTGTGTTCCTTTAACCTCGTGTTGATGTGCCTTCCTGTTTGTCCTATGTAGGCCTTTCCACAAGAGCAAGGAATACTGTTCACACCGGGGCCCTGGAGCTGGATGTTGTTGCAGGTCTTTGGAAACGCTGCCGCCACCTTCTTTACACTGCTGAATACTGTGTTGATATTCCTCTTCTTCAGAAGACGCCCGATTTTAGGTAGATACGTCGTCACTAAGTACTCCTGTTTTTCCATGGGCGTATGTCTCTTCTTGATAGCTCGTTCGATATTTCTCGCCGTGTAGCCATTCCCTCTCAGTGCCGTGCGTAGGTGTTCTAGTTCCTCCGCAGAGTACCTTGGCTCGCTGATGATCCGCGCTCGATGAATCAAGGTATTTATAATCCCCTGCTTCTGGGCTGAGTGGTGGTGGGACTCTGCATTCAGATATCTCTCTGTGTGAATTGACCTCCTATATACTCGATGAAAGTGCCATCTGGTTTCCTCTAAACCAAAACATCCAAGAAAGGAAGGGCAGCATTTTTCTCTACTTCCTTGGTAAACTGGATATCTGGACGTATCCCATTGAAGTGATCCAGGAAATCCACGACGGTGTTGTGTCCATGGGGCCAGATGATGAAGGTGTCGTCAACATATCGGTACTTAGGCTTCAACGTTGTGGATTCCAGGGCTTTCTTCTCAAAGGCTTCCATGTATATATGGGCCATGACTGGAGATAACGGTGAACCCATTGCTGCTCCCTTCGTCTGTTCGTAGAATTGGTCTCGGTTTCTTTTTTATCCGTTTAGCATCCATTGCCATATTATAGGTGTAAAGTCACTTGTCATATTGCGCCCGTGAAAATACCGTGACTGCTCAGTAGCCAAGGATCTGTAAAGTTTTTCATACAAACTGGGTGAATTTTAGTATAATATGTGCAAAACCGACACACCATCAGGTGAGGTTTTTTAATAATTAACAATAAAAGCTCTAAAATAACTCAAAATATCACTTTTTTGACTACCAGAAAAAAACGATAATTTTTATTATAATGTGAAAGTAACCAACTTGTAGGGAATAAAAAAACCTTTAAAATGGCGGTTTTTTAAATCCGATGCGATAATTTGTTGCTCGGGAAATTGCAAAAAACTGTCAAAATTCGATTATTACTAAATAAACAATAAGTTTTGCAAAAGTCAACGAACGACTTTCATATTGCATAAATAGTTGGCTTTTATAGTCCTTAATATGTGATTAAAATTTCAGACCGATTAATCCAATAGTTTTTGCAAAATTCTAAATGTTTATCCCAGAGGCATTATTTTTGCAATAACTTCATACGCAAAATTAATTTATATTTTAATTCTGCGGATGTTATATGAAAGAGAAAGACTTCTTTTATTGGAAGAAATTATTTTATTTCAAAAAAATTGTTTCTTACCACTGCAAAAACATACCACAAAGACACCGTCATTTTTGTATTATAAACAATTACAATAAATTTGTTGCTATTATATTTAGAGAGATTATTTTTCCAGATTCGTAAAGCTGGTATTTAAAAAAGTTGCTCTAACTTAATTTGAGGCAAAATTAGACACTTTTTTTAATCACAGCTACTTTGTTTATAACAATTAAGACTTCTAATAAGTGCCATTTCGAAGATAAAGAGCTAAAGTTTCGATGTGAAATTTTTGAGGACGATAGCTTTGTAACAGCATCTCTGAGAATGCTCCATGACTGTGAGTCAGTGGAGGGGGAACCTACAAATGCACGAGCAAATTGATAGAGCAAGTTATATCTCTGGAACTTGTTGACCGATTTTGATGTTTTTTTTTAATTTGGGGTACCTTCTTGCGTACATCACAAATATGCATTTTGTTAATAAATAAAAATTTAAATTAATCCAGTAATTTGTTTAAACATTAACAAAACCTTTTTTTTGCAAAATAACATTTTTTGTAATTTTTTGTAATGGAACATTATAGGAATGATTAAATATCATTTTTTAATAAATTAATATTGCAATTA